AGCGGTGTCACTTCACTTCTCAATAGCTTGTTTGTGGAACACGGGAATACGGTGAAACCAAGGGCAGACGTCCGTCCAAATTCTTTCGTTGTGAAGACTTCAGGGATTCTCCGACACCTCCTTCAATTCATGTCTCCTTTCGCCTCTTTCTTCATCGATTGCACTTCGATACAGTCAGACTTCCTTCCACGCATGTATAGCTCATGATAGCCGATGCACAATGTCAGAATGCGATAATTAATTCTGGATTCCCTCCACAAGATGTAGAATTCCTTTGTAGTCTCGTCTGTTGGTTGGATTATAAACTTCTTGGTGGGAAAAGGGAGGTTTTTCGAATTTCCGACCGAGGGAACCCGATTTTGGGGTGCCTGCATGTTTTAAATAAGTGAATCATCCGATCGAATCGTTGCTCGTCGGCTTGTTCGTACTGCCCTTTTCCGGAAATTAGTCGATTAATTGGCAAAGTTTAGCAACGCAAACGTAGGATGTGAGTAAGACAGCGGTGTCTGTTGCGCAGTAGATAGTCTCGGACAATTTGTCGACCCTAACAAACGATCAACAAGGAACAAGCGGCAGAAAGAGACTCCACTTCGGCTGCAACAGAAGGTCTTCAAAAACACTTTATACCTAGAAGTCGTCAAAAAAAATGTCAGGTTCGTATTCGCTGCCTCCAGTGTAGCGTCCCGAGGCTTCCACTAGGGTAGTGGAAGGCACAAGTGAGGTTGAATACATGTATTCCGAAGACGACAGGGTAAATGGGACCTGAGCGTGGCCCGAAGGCCAGCCTACGTGTATAGAGGCCAGACTAATCTTGCAGTGACCGCCAAACGCCAAAAGCATTACATACATGTTTCCAGCTGCAAATACTGACTTCTTATACTGCCCAGGAAGTCTCGGGACGCTAAACTGTCCTTCGAGCCATGCTCAGGCCTAGTCTCTTTCTTCACTTTGGAATACATGTATCCCGCTTCAATTACTTCCTTCTTCCACCCCGGTGTGAAGTCTCGGGATGCCAAGTATGAGACACGGAATGTGTCTGAGTGCATGTCAAATCGGTCTGGTCTCAAATGTATCGATCGTGTGTCTTACGGAAGCCATTTATCCATTTTTGCTATCGTAGCGACCCGAGACTTTGCACAAAGGAGAGCAAAGTAATTAGGCGTAACCATGGTCTGAAGGCCAGCTTGCAAGACAAATTTTAAAGTAACCGCAAAACGTCAGGTGGTCGCATAAACAAAGCAGTAAAGTTACATCAAGTACAAAATGATGTGGTATGGCAAGTGATAATTGCTAAAAAACAGTGGACATGGGAGGTTCAGGTTAAAGGCTGTCGTTCTTTATTTTTTAATAGTGGTAAAATAGGCTATTTAGCTCATCATCCACAGATCTGGCTATAAATAATCTATCCCCTTAATTTCGCATTCTCCTGCCTACGACTGTTTAATATTTAGTTGTTTGCATTTGTCTTCTATAAAAATCATTATATGACTATATGATCAAACAAACTACCCAGTGCTACTGCATGGTAGTGTTAGAATCAAGATTTTCTTTAGCTTTAAGGTCGCCTAGCGTGTTTAACTATACTGTTTGACTTGCACCCGCATGTTGCATCCAATCAAAGTTTAATACATCTCGGGTATGTTGTGACATTTAGTCGCAGCGTCATTTTCTTCTACTTGGTGCTAGGTTACGCTGTATCAACATTTAATTTACAAGTAACTATACACGATGACTCTAAAAGCAGTGCCCTTTGTAATTGGGTCTGTTGACCGCTTAAGTCCACGATTGTCCGTCCCTGATCGTTTACCAAAATAATAAACAGTTCTGGCATAAAGTTGCTCCGTCCTTTAGTTCTAATTACAATTTCGTCTATTTATCTCTCTAGTTCTAGTTGTCATCTTTTTATAATTATGGTGCTGGGCTAATGTATTTTTGCCTTGGTTTGTACCTGAGTTTTGTACCGCATATTTCACCATGAACACTGAGCAATTAAGTTTACATGGAATTCGTAATTTTTGTCCGTTTTCTGACGCAAATATCACATTTAGGAAAGCTGTATAAACTTGTTCCATTTCATAGCAGCCCGCTTATTCCTAGAACTTTACTTATTATCCTTTGTCGTCATGCATCTCAAGTTCGTGAGACGAATGAAAAACTCAGGTCGATTTACTGCACTTGAGCGGTCCCTCACTGAATATGGGGTCGATGTAATAGTGTCCGATGCTACAAACCTTGGCTCGAAAAAGAAACATCACAAAAAACGCTCCCAAAAGTCGAAAGCTGCCGACATGCCCGCTTCTGAAAATAGTGAACCCATTGGGCTTACAGAAGCAGTTGAGGAGGGATGGATATCAGTGGCATCTAAAAAAAATAAGGCCATCTCCTCTCAGAGAGATATCGGGGATGGTGTCTCCGCTGCCGTTCCCGTAACACCCATTAGTACGATCCCTCCCACTTGTCAACCTGATCAACCGCCGGAGGCTGGAGGTTCCGTGGTTAGGAGAAAACGGCGAAAACCCGGTACACTAAGGATTTTGCTTTTGTTTTTTGTTAGTGTTGATATTCTTTTTCTAAAGCTATTTGAAACCTCCATAGACAAGAGTAAAGCCCCTGAAACTGCTGCGAAGACTCCCGAAGAATGTGTGGTTGCATCATCCACCCAGTCGCCATCAGCAGAGAATGATCTCCCGCTGGAGACCCCACAGCTATCTGAAACAGGATTGCCTCAGTGCTCCTCTCCCGCAAATCAGAAGGGTAATGAGAAGGTTGATTCTTTCCCACACGCATACAGATCGGAGTCCCTTGTCTCCGAGGCGCTCGGTCAGGGGGCTGTCATCAAGGCTCGTTCCACCTTTCCAGAACTTGTCTTCTCAGAAGCACCTCCCACTATCACTGAGTCCAGCAATCCCGAAAGGGTCTGATTCTTCCTTCATTTCCCAAGTTTTACTAATTTTCATAGTCAAATATTGAAGCATTTTTTATTTGAATTGCTTCCACGGCTTTTGAATTATGGAATTATCATTACTTTATCATATCTTTTGGCATTAATAGTTGATCAGCTGTTTGTCTTTTTCAATTTACTACAAGTAGCGCAATAATTGCAACTAACAAAAGAATTTACGGTGAAATTTTCCCGCTTGTCTTTGTGCTCTTCTTGACTTTCTGGTTGTTTCTCGAGGCCTAACTTTTATCCATTCTGGTACATTGCTGTATTTTTTTCACTTTGGAACTCTATTCTTATTCTTTGTTCCTTCATTTTCCTGGATTAGAATCTGTTTATTATTAATTCTTCTCAGCTTCTTCACAATGTTTCGTCATTTAGGTGAGTTTGGGGCTTTTGCCTTCTCGCTTTTGGAGTTTCATCAAGATTTCGATTATTTCTGTGGATATCCGGTTACCAGACCTAGTTTGGCAATGCACTTAAAGGCTTTTTGCCTATCGGTTTATTTTGTTAGCAGAACGTACTGTATCAAATCAGCTTATGCGACACATACTGAGGGTATTTTGTGAAACTGGTCTTTTTAAGGTGGGAAGAAGGAATGTTCTTATGTTTTTTTTAGGATTTCCGTTGGTCTGATTTCATTCAGATGAAAGCTACTCTTCGCGCAAGAGAAGCGGAATGCGAAGTGAGCTGCTGTTAATATTTATGCCAAAGATGTCTCTATTAGCGGTTTTCGGGTGTGACTATGCATAGGTTGATGGTGCCTAGGAACCGCTTTGATCTGTGGAGAATTTTATCGGTGCTTTTGCGTCGATGCAGTGAACCTCACATTCTGGCTCTCATCATGTGGATGTGCATTAGCCCTCAAGAATTTAATTTAAGGCTAAAGGGGAGACGCTTATATTGAATGCTTTGCGACTAACGCATTTACACCCTTACGAAGCCGCTACTTCATTTTACAACTCGGACGGAAGTAAACAAGGTTTATAGTATCAATTTGGTGCGGGTGAATAATACTAATTGGTCATCATTGTGTAAGAGAAGTGAGGGGTGATTCACTTTTAGTTTGCAATTAAAAGGATCAATCTTTCACCGGGAAATTCGGCTCTGTTGAAGCAAGGTGGAGCATCTACTGCCTGCATTGTAACTCATTGACTTAGGGAATTTCTTCCACCTTTGATATTGTATTCAACTCTCCATGCACTTCTACCAAGGTATTGCTGTCTTTGGCTTCATTACCTCCTCCCATTTGATACATAACCTTTTTTGCAGGTTTTGCGTGAGGAAGTAACAAGATTGTACATGTTGAGTGATGGGAAATTCAAAGGCACGCCCCCCACTACCAACGGATCGTCCCAAAAGTGAGTACACAATTCGACAAAATTGGCAACAGACTGCCTCTGCAGCATTAATATCTTCTCTCAATCTACCGATGTTTGCATGCGTGATTCAGGCCATCCCCAGAAAGATCCAAACAGCAGCAAAAGAAACAGTCCGTACTCATGGCTTCGAAGGAGGTGCAGTGTATGATTGAAGCTCCGGCTCCGCCGGAGTTGGAACCCGTGTCATCACCCAGTTCTACAGAGGCCAAGGTGATATTGTCCCTCCAGGGTGAAATTGCTCGCCTTGCTCAAGAGAACACTGTCCTCACTCAACGTCAAACCGTGAGTCTCTTCAGTTTTAAAATACTTTTGCCTCTTTCAATTTTTTTTGTGTACTTGGCAAAGAAGTGAATGGAAGAAAACAGTTTCAGTTTACGGTCAACGTATTCTTCATGAAGCAACATGTTCCTTACCACCAACTAGCAGTATATCAAAGTTTACGCAGATAATAAAACTTAAATTAAATTACATATATGGATTTGTCATTCGTTTTCTCAGGGCGGCTTAGTGATTAGCTTTCGTTGATTTCGCATGCGATTTGGAGGTCTTCCATCAAAGTTTAAGGCGAATCAGGAGGGGTTTTGGCATGTACCTCCTCCACTTATGTCGATAGTTGTTTCATCAAGCTTGAACTAGGTCATCACCACAAAATCTGCATCATCTCGCCTAGTTAATGCACGGGTTATACGTGTTAACTGGGACAGGCGTTTCTGCGCGCGCGTGTCTGTAAAGGGAGAAAGGCAGACTGACCAGTCCTTCTTTCTGCGCATGCCGCACACAAACACGTTTGCGTTGCTGACCCAGATACTTCAACCAAGTGCCTGCTATAGGCGTACCCTTTAATGGGCTGGCGTGCGTATTTGTAGGTGTGCTATTTGGCCGAATCTCGGAGAGGCCCTGTCCAAAAATAAATTCGGTCGATATTCTGTGCTGCCTTGTTGTTGTAGGTAAGGGAAACCGATTTAGAAGGTCTTAGTCATGTGGGTCCCTTTACGCTCTACCACTGCATTCATTTCACTCCCAACTACCTTAGGGATATATGCTGCAACTCAGTAGTATAATGCGAGTATAAGGCCTCTGGTTAGTGTATTAGGGTTTCCGAGACTATTGATGGTGTCTTGCGTTCCCTTGTGCAACTGGCGACATGTTGATGAACTACACGCAATCAACGCGACCTCGTCTGTTGCACGCTTTAACACGTGTGTACCCGGAGTCCTTACACGTGCATGGGTGTGAATGCCAAGCAATCAATTCTTGCCACGCAAAAAAAGGGTCGATTTATACAATCCGTCGGATTTGGCTTTGGTGCAATACTACCGCCTTGCGGATGGTCATGTGCAGTCGATATTTGTATCCATTATAACGGAGCTCCTTTGTTTACAACCTGTCTCCTCCTTTCAGTGCATTGTTTATGCGTTGGAATGTTTCGAAAATGGCGACAATGTGGTAACAGGTCTTCAGCGTCATTGCTTAACTTCTTGGTTTTCAAATCCTCCTTTTTGTGATCTGCCCGTTCCATTTGGGTTTTTATGGGCATTGGTCTGCATTTTTCGTCCAATTAGAATCTGGAGGGCCGACTTGAGAATGCAAAGCACCAAACGTCAAAATTGCAGTCTGAAATGCGTAAAGCCACCTCCGCTGCATCCAAGGAGGCGGAAGCCGTAGTCCGCCAGCAAATGGATGAGGTAGTCAAAAAATTGCAACTGGTGATAAAAGACAAGGAAGAACTTCTAGTCACCAAAACTGCTCAACTTGGGGCAAGTCGAGTTCCTACTTTTGTCCTATAATTTAACAACTTTGGGGACCTTGATTTGTGGTCGATGTGCTTATCTTTTGCCGTTTTAGTTAGCAGAGCAGACAAGAGATAAAGCTCTTAATAATTTACAAAACCTTCAAGCGGAACACACCAAGCTTATGGAAGCCAAACGCGTAAGTGCGAAACCACTCTCATAACTCCGTACCTCATTCCGAGTATTTGACTTAATTTACATTTGGTTTTTTCCCATTTTCTCCCTTCCAGGCTGAGGAGCTTCACCTTGCAGATACTATGAAGGTGTTAGAAGATATCCGACAAGAGAGAGATGAGGCGAAGAAGGAACAAACTCTTATGAATCAAAACCTCAATCTAGTTAGGTCATCCATGGAAGCGGAGGCGAACAACCTTCGTCAACGTTTGGTGGAAACCGAAGCATGTTTTCTTTCCCTTTCCCTCTTTCATTTTTATCCACTTTCGGTGTTCCCACGCATAAGTTTTTTTGCTATTTTCTTTGGTAGGCACACTTGAAAGCTTCGTTGGACCAATCCGTCCACCTCAAAGAAGAACTTGATTCCGCAAAATCTGAGCTGGCCACCACGAAGACGGCGATGGCTGAAGTAACAGCTAAGCATGAACATGATGTATCTGAAAATATGGAGGTTTGTCATTTATGCTCTCATTTTCGTGTATAACCTTTAGTTGTCTCCTTCCTCGCCACTTTTACCGATCAACTTTAACAGGCCCAGTTGAAAGCTGCATTAGATCAGTGTACACATCTCAAGGAAATGTTGGCTTCTAATCAGAATGAGCTGGTTACGGCTAAGATGGCTGTAACTGAGCTGACGGAAGAGGTATATGCTTTGAAGGCGCACGCGGGTAATCTCGTTGGGAAGAATGAGGAATCCTTAAAGTCGGAAAATATTGTTGAACCTAAGTCTTCAATGTTGGAGGAGGGCTGCGATGAATGTGCGCATCTTTCGGCAGAGGTGGGGCGCTTTCAGGAGGTCATGGCTTCGACTGATTGTGCGTTGTCTAACCTCCAGCACTCCGTTGGAGAGGAAGAAGAGCGCTGGCGACTCGCCCTTCAGAAGTGTTGTGCTGAGAATATACAGGTGAGTCGGAGTAACTAGTTCTCTCTATCTTCTTCTACTTGGGCTGCTCGCGCTTACCATTCTGTGCTTCTTTTTTTGTCACTAGCTTAAAGCCAAGCTGGATCAACTGACCTCGCGGTCGGAGAATGATAAGGTGAGGTGTCCGTTGTAATAAGGTCTTGTTGTTATATCTTCACTCATCCACTGGCTTACTTCATCATGCTTTATGCCTCACCAGGCCGTCAGTGGAAATAGCAAGGATGTGAATAGCGAAACGGCGTACCCGAAGGTAACCTTCAGTACTTTTTTGTGCATGCATTCGCTACCGTGTTTACGAGGTTTGGCCAACTTCATCGCAGCCTAGAACTAACTTACAGTTATGAATGGCAAACAATCGAGTTGTTCCA